TGGAATGTTTATCACTTCTGCTTTCATTGCCAAAATAAAACTTGTTTTGCTGAATTGCCCTCAAAGCTTCTCGAGGGTTATTTGCACTAGTCGTCCCTAATTTTGAAGTGATAGACTAGAGGGAAGGAAGCTAGCACCACCAACTCCTGATCTAATCTAATCGAACAGTATGATTTGACCTTCACTTTTATAACTTACCGAAGCTTAAATACGGGGTCCACTTTTTATTCCTTTTTTGTTTGTTTTTCTCTTTCGGTAATGAAACGTGAACCACTGAAACTCGGATCTACAATCCAATAGACTTACCACAAAAAAAAATTAAATACAAGACTAAACTAAAGCAAGAGAAGTAAGCAAATATAAAGATGAAAAAATAGAACAAATAAAGTTAGAGTTGATAGATCTGAAGATTTCACTAATTACGTAATCCAAACCAAAACGTCTTCACCAGTTAGAGTTGATAGATCTGAAGATTTCACTAATTACGTAATCCAAACCAAAACTTCTTCACCAGTTAGAGTTGATAGATCTGAAGATTTCACTAATTACGTAATCCAAACCAAAACTTCTTCACCAGTTAGAGTTGATAGATCTGAAGATTTCGCTAATTAAGTAATCCAAACTAAAACTTCACCAATTAGAGTTGATAGATCTGAAGATTTCGCTAATTAATTAATCCAAACTAAAACTGCACCAATTAGAGTTGATATTTCTGAAGATTTCGCTAATTAATTAATGCAAACTAAAACTTCACCAGTTAGAGTTGATAGATCTGAAGATTTCACTAATTAAGAAATCCAAACCAAAACTTCTTCACCAGCAAGAGTTTATAGATCTGAAGATTTCGCTAATTAAGTAATCCAAACTAAAACTTCACCAGTTAGAGTTGATAGATCTGAATATTTCGCTAATTAAGTAATCCAAACCAAAACTTCTTCACCAGTAAGAGTTGATAGATCTGAAGATTTCACTAATTACGTAATCCAAACCAAAACTTCTTCACCAGTAAGAATTGATAGATCTGAAGATTTCACTAATTAAGTAATCCAAACCAAAACTTTTTCACCAGTAAGAGTTGATAGATCTGAAGATTTCGCTAATTAAGTAATCCAAACCAAAACTTCTTCACCAGTTAGAGTTGATAGATCTGAAGATTTCGCTAATTAAGTAATCCAAACTAAAACTTCAACAATTAAAGTTGATAGATCTGAAGATTTCGCTAATTAATTAATCCAAACGAAAACTTCACCAGCTAGAGTTGATAGATCTAACTACTCTTTTCTACGTAGACTTTTTTTTAACAGAAGTAATAAAATTAATAGAATTTTCAGGTACATAAAATCAACTATGTCACTGAATAAGTCCATTCACTCTGACATTAGCATAACAAAGGAAATAATTCTGGCGAAATCAGTGAAATTCTTTCTGACGTCATTAGATATGACGTCATCATATCTACTATGTAAAAGCAGGGTTTGCCTGATGCGTCGTTAGACATGATGTAAATGTGTTTTTTTTTTTAATCCATTTTTTTATTATTTTTCGTAGGTTAATGAATCTCAGTCTTTGATATTCTTAACTAGCAATATCTAAAAAACAAACATTATTAAAACGTACGCTGAAGAAAATACGTTAATAATGTATAAAAAATGTAAAAGATCCACAGAATTAACTGAATTACTCTTTTAATGTCAAATTCGACGTTTCGAGCCTAAGCCTTTCATCAGACTTTAGAAGCAACGGTAAAAATATGATAACATTAGCAAAAAAAAGCTCGGGAATAAAAAAAAATATCACGTGACTAACATGTATACAGTGATATGAAAGAAGAACAGAGCGAGAATCCAAACAAATGTCACGTGACTAACAAACAAGCAATGGTATGAAAATAGCACAACAAAGGGGGAATCCAAACAAATGTCACGTGATTAACAAACAAGCAGTGGTATGAAAATAGAACAACAAAGGGGGAATCCAAACAAATGTCACGTGATTAACAAACAAGCAGTGGTATGAAAATAGCACAACAGAGGGGAAAATCCAAACAAATGTCACGTGATTAGCAAATAAACAGAGACATATGAGAGAACAACAGAGGGGAAATCAAAACAAATGTCACAAGTAAGAAAATGGAGAAATGAGGTTGATGATAAATATAATACAAGTTATATATTAGATAAAAAAAACAAATAAGTGAATGATGTACCACATTTTAGCAGAATAATGAAATAAAGTAACCAAATTACATTAGAACACAACTTGCTAAGGGTACTGGTTAGAGACCCCAAGGATTATTAGCCATAGCCGTCACTAATTCAGAACTGTTTGCCAGAGGGAGGGCAACCCGCCGACTACTATGACTGACAAATACATTTACAACGCTCTCACTTCTGAATGTTAGGACTTATGTTCAGCAGTATGTTGTCAACTCGAACTTTGGAGTTACCGATTCGCAGCCCAACACATTAACCTCCAGACTACCGGACTTTTAGAAACAACAAGATTAAGACACAAGTCAATTTACCAATTTCTCTGATAGATATCAAGACCAAAAAGAATTGTATCAAAACAATAAACATAACAACACGTAAAATACATCAGCAAATTAATTTTCTGAAGAAAAAAAAGGTTCAAAATAAAATAAAAATGGGGAGAAGTTCTGAGTATTTAGAGAGATGAAATTTGTTCATTAATATAACTGGGAGAAATTGTAAGGAGGATAAAAGGAAATCTCTTTTTCTCGAGGTCTTTGGGGGGGGGGGGGTCATGCACACTACCGATTAAATAAGATGGCGATTTCATGGAAACATTGGTTGACCATGAGACCAAGCTTGCATTTATGAGGCTACAGCCGCAGAAGATGTAGTAAACAACTGACTTGGAAACAGAGTCGAAGGTCTACTTTATAGCCAGATGTTCTGTTGTCAGGGGGTAATAATGGAAGGGGATACGAATGTTGCTAGACATTTCAACTGCTGGATACGTATAGGAAGCGGGAGATGCACTGCTAGCAGGGATTCTGACTGATAAAATTGAAGGAGGAAGAACAAGAGGCAGGCAGACATCAGTTGAATTGATGACACTAGAAAATGAATTAGAGATGACAAGAGATGTTCCAGTTAAAAGATAAATAAGGATGAAATTTGTTGAAGATGCGATGCTCAAAATATTGAAAAGAACGATGTCATCAATGTAGTGTTTAAATATGAATTCTCCCATGAAACATTTTAAACCTTTCTGTTCATTGTACTCGATAAATCAACAAATTAGTTTAGATATAAAGATCCAATTGCAGCAAAAATTCTACAAAATATTTTTTTTTACAATGCCTGATAACACAGGCCTGCAAATTTAAACTCCATAAAAGTTGTTTTGGTTTTAATAACGGGTTTTCCATAATTCAGCTACGCAGATTTCGTAAATAATATTAATTATTTTTCGATCACGTAAGGAATTGTTTACGGATCAAGAAGAAAAAAAAACTTACTTAGATCAAATTAATATTTCGTTCACCACAATGAACATTTTTTATTATTATGTTTGTTAACAACAATACAAACAAACTGATTTCAAACAAATATACATCCTGATTCATCCTGATTTGTGTGTGTGTGAAATCTATGTCTTTTAGTCTCAAAATTACGTGTTGTGGTCTTTCTTTTATGTATTATGACGTTATGACGTTTTCTGAAAATTGTGTACGTGATGGAGAAAAATGGATATCATCTTCGGATTCAGCGTACAG